ATCACCCAATCATAACAATAATTTGACATCATATTTGGTGTTTTCTATATTGGACAGTGGTATTGGGACCAAAATTGTCTTATGTTTATATGTTGAAATAGAAAAAATATGCATAATAGAAAAAAGATGCATTGTTTTTTTCAATTATAGGTTGGCAGAATGACAAGAGAATTGATATTTATCACCTATGAAGAAAGCTCTGTTCTCTAGCATGTCCATCTTTTCCCATACCTCCCTTGAGAAATTTAATCTTGAAACCTCCAGAGCAGTGGGTACAAACCTGTAAAATCCCCAATCCACCCTTTTTGCGAATCTTCCTGTAATACAAACAACAAATAAGCGATTGCCTGATTCATTGGGTATTGGGAACAGTTTGAAGAAAGTAAGAAGCTTAATTGGCAGCTTCATTATTAAAAAAGTTTTCAATATCAACTTTAATGCCACTTATCGAGGTGTGGCAGAAGAGCCTTCCTCCACAGACAGTCAGGTCTACTAGAACATCATTTTTAGCATGAAGCATGTCTCCTAAAGCTTGGTACTCTCTCCACGTCATGTCTTCCACTCTGCAGCACATGAAAGAAAATGCTTCACTTTGATACACAAGATTGATTTGTGGTAGACGAGGAGGAAACACGAGTTGGGTAAACTACAGGTTAGGTTCTATTTCAACAACAGGAAACTCACAAGACTGTAAGGTCACCAGGTTGAGGATTGAATAGGCATTCTGCTTGCCAACCAAGATGAGCCAACCAGAACAATAGTTGATAATTCTCTAACACCCAAAGGAAATCCATGCCAAGCTGAGAAAAATGTTTCCAAAACAAGGTCAGAAATTATGAAAAGTTTCTGGTATCAATTAATACAAATGGTTCATAATAAACAGGTCTAGAAAAAGGTTTCCAAGACAGGCATGGTGCATAATATCATTCCAAAAGGTTTCCAAAGACCATTTATTCTTTAAATCAATTCCCCAAAAAATTATGCTAGAAAAATAAAGCTGCTATTTCTCATTTATCTCCAAACATTATTAACTGTTTGAATGGTAACAAAAACAACGTTTAACTTACCAGATATTCGAAAGGTTGATAGCAAGTTGCCTTATAAAAGTGAATTCAGATAATATATAAAAGTGAATTTGCCTTATAAAATTTATGAAAATATTCTTAATAAAAATATTTTTATTAAGAATATTTTGATAAATTTAAAAGGTAAATTATATATTTTTTTGTTTACTAACAAATTCATAATACAGACTATACTTTTGTACAACCCGAACTGAAACCACATTTTTGTTAAAACAAACAGTTTGTGATAATCGGCAATTAAGATCGTCCAAACAGTAGCAGTAAATCAGAAGAGTCCGTACAGAATGGAACAAGAACAGAACATAGAGTCACAGAGATGAAAAATAATTCAGAGAAGTATTGAAGTGGCGTTACGTACGAATCAGGAGCGCAGACGAAGACTCGTTAGCGATTGGCGGAGACGAGGACGCGGACGAGATAACGGAGGCCTGATGCGTCGATTCCGTCGTCGTTTGTGACCAGCATCGTCGGAAACTGACCGCAACCGTCCACGTTGACGTTGTTTGCCATTTTCGCCGCCGATAATCTGACAACCGGCAACATTGGCAAGGAATAATTAGTGGCCGTAGAGAAAAAAAAAATTTATTTTTATTTTTTCAGAATAAAGATTTGCGTTCTGCCACGCTGATTTACTGAAGGACACAGGCAGGTGGGAGAGCAGAGAGATATTTGTGTTTGGGAACCACTCTTTTTAACGCCCAGGAATATATCTGCTTCTTTTTAGGGTTAAAGTAAATTATAATCCCTCTGCTTTCATTTCTCGTTCATTGTCCTCTCTGTACTTACATTTCGTTCAAAGTCCTCCCTCTACTCTTCCAAATCATGCCATACTCCTCCCTGTACTTTAACTTATCATTACATTTACCTTTCTCTCCTAACAGCACACTAATACCGTGTATGACTCTCACGGTCTCACCTCACATAAATATCTTGGACAAGTGTGATGGTTACTTTTTTTTTTAGAATTGTGTTCGTAGGCCCCACAAAACAAGAAAAAAAAACTCAAACTTTGTTAATTTAACAAGTATATACTGATTAGTAATTAATTTTAATATTTTTTAATTTTCAATGCACATAATCATTTAAACAAAATCTCAATTTTTCTATTTTTATTTGTCTATTTTCTTGACAATCATTAAAGTGATCTTATTATCAAATTTTATTAATGTTAATTTCATGTTAAATTATTTTTTTAATATTTTTTTATCTTGAATTATATAATAAAAATTTACTTTTTCTTATCCTTTAATCCACTTTACTCACATGTCATAAGATTCAAGTTCATGATTGTTGAGTTTCAATAAAAGAAAA